AGACATGTTTTACTCGGTAAATCCGCAAACACTGGTCAAAATCATTAACCATTCCGTCAAACAGGATAGACTGCTGTTCGACCAACGGAACCATCTCCTAGTTTGTAAGAAGATTAGACGTAGGGGCTATTCAAAAGGACCCCGTAGTATAAAATGAAGACAGGAACCACTCTAGGCAGTCCGTGTGTTACGTTCTGGTTTGGAATTACTAGTTGACAGATGTGAATAATTTAATTGACCCAACTGTGGAAAATCCGTGGCCTTGGCGAACTGCGAAGCCATATCAGCAGGGGAGGCTTAAAATAAAGGCAAGACTCTTGGCGTGCCTTCGTAGCTCAATTGACAGAGCGTTGGCTGTGCAAAAGCCTTTCCTGTTGATGTGAGTTCGAATCCCACTGAGGCCACTAATGTTTCACAAATGAGTCAAGTGAATTATTCAAATCTGCCAAACTGCCCTAATAATTAAATATGCCCAGGAGTCATTCTGGTGGATTCTAGACGATTGCTTAGGAAATCCTGCTTGGGCAGTCAACTTGCTGTATACGTTATGGTGGATTCCAGTAGGCTGTACGGGTAAACCGACCCAAGTGTGATTAAATTTAAAGCTCTCGGCGTGTCCTTGGAGCTAAGTTGGTAGATCGTTGGCTGTAGTAAAGTCTTCCCTGTTGATGTGGGTTCGAATCCCACCGAGACCATGACTTTTTCACAGTTGGGTCAATGGAGTTTGGGATTAAGGTTTGGGTTGGTGTTAAACGTGAGGTTAGAATTAAGATTAAAGAGCTATATTTTTGGCTTGTGTAAGGGGTATGGCATAGGAATATTAACCCTGCCTAGAATTACACACAGGCCAACCCTTATTACTCGGGCGTTTCTTCTTCAATGTCCTATTTAGGAGGCTGTCGTGACTAGCTCGAGTCAAAGCGAACTTTGCCAAAGCTCACGGCGGCTGTTCTCGATTTCTGGGAACAGCAAATCACAGATGCCGCAAAGCTGGCCCTGAACCGGCAACGAATCACACGCCTGCACGTGTAGGCAGACCCAGTCAATGACCGCTGGCCGCTGGCATGCTTGCTGCTAAACCGAAACTTAGGACCCGGCTGGCTTCCTGGCTGGTCGTGCGTCAAACTGGTCGAAGTCAAACTTCTTCCTGCTTATTCTCCGTTCGTCTGTATACAGAAGAAACTATTCCTACTATTCTGGCCTGCGCCGACTTCTTCTCTCCTAAGGAACCATTTTCTGAAGATCGCAGTTGCTTGGGTTTCACTCGCTCAACCCCCTGCGATAAGGCCACCTAGGAAATGCTTGCCCGATGAATTCCCGTAGGAGTTCGAAATGTTAGACACATTTTGAAAAATGGCCCCGGCAATCAAACAACATTCGTTTTCCCTATTTATGCGTTTAATTTGAACATTTCCAAACATTCGTCCCAATCCGAGCATAAACTGCATAGGCGAAGTTTTTTTAAATTATCATCAACATCTTCGGATAATTCAAACATATCAGTGGTCTGGGAGTCGAATAAATATCCCTACTGTCATCTACTCTAAGTTTCTTTACGTGAAATTAAGAAAACGAACAAAGTAACTTTTAGCATCAACGTTTTTGTTGAGGGATTGGTAAAAGTGCACTTATTACACCAGGGCCAACTGTCTGCATTTCGCCCAAACTTCCCAAATGTCTGCCACAGCAAAAGTACTGCGTGCTGTCATGCTGCCAAAACGGTGAATATCCACGCAGGAATCATTTACCGTGACAAGAGGAGACTACGAAGGAAGGCAATAAGCAAAAGTGACAAGAGAGAAGCCATTTTAAAGCAAAGGGAGCGGACGAAAAGTGGAAGAAAATGGGCGCTGGGATAATTGACTTCGGCAAGTGGTAGTCAGAAACCTTTAGGTACAAACTAAAAATCGCCTTGTTTGGAATTTCAGGTGAGATGCTCAACTTGCAACTTCCAAAAACTCAGAATTTATCTCTGTAGCAGGTTAGTCCGCCGCCGCAGAGGGAGAGAGACATAATAGTTGAGAAGAAAAATATGCGGTGGCTGGGAAAATACCTTCATTCGCCTGACGTTTCTAAGTCCGTCACGGATTCTTCATCAGAGACATTAGCAGCAGCAGCAGCGGATAATTCATGCACAGGGACTTGCAGTATTTATAGGATATAGTCACTGTGATACTGTACACTAATGACAATTAACGACTCCCCCCTCTATCGAAGATAAATTTCCGCTTGTGTGCTAATAGTTTGATGACCGGCATGTAGACCATGACCCGCTGGAGTTTCATTCCACGTGGTGGAACGGGACGTGATGATTGTTCGGCCACCTGGTTCCCCGGCGTTGGCATTTGATAACGCGTTGACCTGTGCGTTCCGCAAGTGGCGACTAGCTTTGGCCAAATTGAGACTTAGCACAGAAAAATGCTAAGTGCAGGAAATTTGACTGCAGTGTGGAGACTCTGTGCGGCG